AGATGTCTAGTTCCTGCCTTGTTGCTGGGCCAGCAGCCTTGATCTCAGCCTGAAAATCGAGCTGCGTGATCCTCGGTTCACGCAGCCGTGCTGTGCTTCCCCGTCTGCCCTGTGCAACTGTAGATCATCCTGCAAATGCACGGTGGTCCTGTGTGGCTGCACGGTGTGCTGTGAATAGAGAGGGGTTAAAAGCACAAGCATGTGAAATCTTCTTCCCCGTTTAAGATGCGGATGAGCCGCAGAGCTCTAATACAGCTGCCATGTAAAGAAGCGTGTAAAGCAGAACATCTTGGTTTTTACTTGGGGTTTAGGAACAACTGTCAGGACCTGGAAACACCGAGATCTGCCAGCTCTGCCAGGAAGAAAGCAGCCGAAGCAAAAAGAAGGTAACTCCAACGACTTGTATTGGCATCTCCTTCATCTGGTGAATGTGCGTTTCCTCTGATTCTTATTTTCGAATGGCACAGATTTCCTACCGGTGACTCGGGACAAAGAAATGAGCCCTTTTCTGAAGTCCACTTTACCCTTAAAGTAAACTTGTCAAACAGTGGTCGCTGAGGGCTCCCCAGTCTGTTCTGTGTTCAGTGGTTTTTCCTTCCCCTTAGCAGCTTCTTCCGTTCTTAGCAAAGTGGTTTTTTTCTGGGATCAAACAGAAGTGAGAATAGGAGGTGTTAACACTTGTTTGTCATTTCTTCACTTAAGCCACCTTGCCTTTTTCTCTTATTTTTATTCTTTTTCATGGCTAAGCCCCTCTTCCTTTCCTCACTGCTTTACAGTCTGAATCTAGAGGGATTACAAGAGTTACCAAAAAGGGTGTTTGGTGGGACTGCTGTCTTCATCCAGATACTTTCTTCCACTGATGCTGAGGAGCAGGAGCAGTTTGCGAGGAAACAATTCAAGGCGCTGATAAAACTGCTGTCGGTGCAGCAGGCGTCCTGGTCACTGGTGCAAGCACTTTAGGGGGAAGCTGGAAGGCGGCATTGGGTTGTGTTTTCCCCTGGTCGATCTGCCGAGACCTGGACCAAAAGGCTGTTGCAGAGCCGTGGACAGGCGGGAGCAGGGAGGAGCTCTGTCAGGCAGTGCGGCGGAGGCCGGCTCCCCGGCACAAGGCCTGTGGGGCTCTGACCTCCGCACCTGGGTAAAGATGAACCGGTATCTTGGTTCCAAATAGGTCTTGGAAAATTTTTGGGGGGGACTGGGGAGCACAGTGAGGTTACCTGACCAGGAAGCTTTCAGGCTCGCGCAGAGAGGCCACGTCTGGGCAAGTGACGGGTGGCGAGTCTTCCAGGCAGGGGCTCCCAGCCGCAGCAGTGTTTGCAGTGCTGCCTGCCACGGGGACAGGTCCGGCAATTAGCGATTTTGCCAGAGTAAGCACCTGCTCCCGAGCCAGCCTGCTCCGCAGCGCCTGCGAAGACAGCGTTCCTCGACGTGGTCAGAAGCCAGCCCTCCCCTCTCCAACCCTGCAGTACCGTGAGGCTTAGAACAGGCGGGGAGGGGGGGTGGTTGCCCCCCCAGTCACCCCGTGAACGTCTCCTGTTACACATAGGGGAACTCTGGGGGGTTTCTCGTCTTTCCCATTCCCCTGTGTTTATCTTGAGAAAACCCATGAGTTCAAAGCAAAGCAAGTGCCACAGCTTTATATCCGACTTTGATACATTTCCAAATCCATGTGCACGTTTAAATACTTATCTCAGGCAAGACTTGTTGTTCCAGTGTATTTATACGGCTATAAAATATACATGCGCACCTCTTGTGGCAAAATGCTCTAATGGACTGAGTCAATTAAAACTTGAATGGTTCATTATTGGTAACTCTTACCTGCTTTACTACAAGCCTTCACCTACTCTCATTTGACCTAAGGAGCTTTGCTATAAACTGGTCCTGAGCACAGGAGCAAACTTCTGGTCTGCAGAGGGGACAAGAGTAGACTTTCGGAGCGTCTTTCTCTAGCCCAGTGGAGGATTTGGGTTGACGGAATGATAATGAGACAAAACATAAGTTTCTTTGTGTTGCTTGCGTCTTGAGCATCTCCTTAATTTTTCTGTCCTCTTCCTGCATTCCAGAACATCTGCAAGAACTGTGGCGGCATCTTCTGTGAAGCCTGTTCAGCGAATGAGCTGCCCCTCCCGTCTAGCATTAACCCCGAGCGCGTCTGCAATCCCTGTCACAAGCGGCTCATCCACCAGTATTCGACCAGTCCCTTGTAGGGGACGGGTTGCAGAGAGAGGTGACCAAAAAAAGGTTGTAGCTGATGATGGTTGCTGGAGTTGTTCAGGGGGAACGTGAAGACACTTGCCTGTGTTCTTTGGAGGTCAGAGAGGAAGCAGCTTCATGGTGTTTACAGTCTCTTGTGACTGTAACAACAGTCTGAGCCTTCCCTGTACAAAAATCTGCCTGCTCTCAGACCTGAGCTTGTGCTGGGGAGAACTGCTTTGGGAACGTTGCATAAAGTTATCCCCAAGGGGTGCCCAAGCAGCCTCAGGGCGCGGTGAGAACAGAGCCCTCGCCCAAAAAAAACCCTCTCTGTGTGCGTGCATGTCTGCGTGTGCAGGTCGGGAACGGTCTCGTCCTCAAGCGTGTGGCGTGAAATCATGCTGCTGCTAAGCAAAGGCTCGCTGAAAGCAGAACGGGAGCTTTTTTAATCCTCGTGTCTGGCTGCACTTGAAATACCATTTCCCCTTTCCCAGTTGCCTTTGACGATTTGGCTCAACCGTGCTACGTCAGTGCCAGGTGTGAGAAGGCCAGGTAAGGTGCCAATAAACACTTTCTAGCTTCATTTCTTTGGCTCAGCCCTCTGGCCGATTTGCATCTGCTATGCAAATCAGTATCAAAAAAATAAAACCAAGCTGTGAAAGTATTTTGGGGACGGGGGGTGGGGGGTGTAGGTGGTTTTGAGGCGTGCACGATGTGAGAACTGATGACCTGCACTGATCTGGCATGGAAGTGCCTTAAGGCATCTCCGATCTTCCTCTCAGAGACCCTCACTGTGACTGTGACTACAAAACGGTGGTCAAAGCTAAGGAGTAACTGTACTTCCTATCCTGGTGTGGGAACTGGAGGAGTTGGATTCTCCAGTATTTAAATACCAAATCCTCATCATGACACAGAAGCTTAGGGCTGCTTCGATCCACCTCTCCCCTTTGTGCACATGAAAAAATCATTGTAATAAACCTGGCATTTCACTGGGGTTTTTTTTGTTATATCAAACTGAAGGTGAGATGAAATGGGAATGCTTTTCACCTACTAGAAATTCTAATTTGAAACACAGTTCAAAGCGGTTTCACAGTTCATGCTACATCATTCTTTGTTGCTGTTACCTCAAGCAGTTTTGTTACTCTAAAAAGCGGCAGTGGCTTCCTTATGAAGCACGTAGCATGTCAGAGTTGTGTTTGGTCTGTTTTATACTGGAAGCCCACTTCAGTCTTTAAGACCACAGAATGTTTTGTAGTCCATAGAAAACTGATGTATTTATATGTGACAAATGCATTTGGTTTTGTACAAATTTTATTAGGGGTTAGTGGTTTAATTCCTCAGAGGGGATTTTCTTGTCATTAGTCTGGCTGGAACTGCACTGAAAAGCGTGTCAGAGCTGAGGTTATTTACATGGTTGGTGCTACTTTGTACCAGGAATTACTCTCTTCTAGTTCCCTCTAGGCCTCGGCATGTTCAGCCACCCAAGTTCTCCAGCTCCTCTTAGCACCCTCCAGAGCCAGAGCACTTCACAGGGGGGCAACTTTAAACAGTTTTTCTTTTTCTGCTCTTTTTTCCCCCTGGTAGTTACCAGATACATTTGCTTGGTGCTGTCCCTTCAAGTAGATTAGTAGCTGTAAAGAGTGTTGAAATACAAAAAGCCTAGAATTCAAGTGCGGGCACACTGCTTTGCAGGGGTGAGACACCAGAGATGAATGGAGAAGATAGTGAATTTAGTGCGAAGTTTTATGTACATGCTGTACACATTTATGAGATTTCAAATTCCTGCATCCAAACCCAGCGTGACTCATCCCCAAGAAGAAAGTGAGACCCGAGCAATTTCCGTGTTAGAGGATTAAACTGGAAACCAGGCACTTAGTGTAAATAATTTTCATGCTGTTATGTCCAGCATTTTGCAGCTCTGAGGTGACAGCTTATTTGTGACCTGTACCCAGCTTTTGACTGTCCTGGCAGGAGCGGCCGCCACTCTGCTTGCTCGAAGTGAAGGCTGCGACTGTTGTTCATGCGAAAAGCAGGACAGCTCTTGAGCAGGTCCTCTGAAGTGACGCGAGATCTCTGTGAGTGAGCAGGGAGGCGCTGAAAACCCTTCGGAATACAGCTCTGGCAGCTGTAATGGAAACTGGCATTTAGGAAGGTCAGAGCGAGACTCTGTTCGCTGCCAGCTGTCTGTGTCAGCACTTGCCTCTTCCCTGGTGTCTCAGACTCCAGTGAGTGTCTCTGCCTGTTCATGCTGGATGTTACGCTTCCTGATGCTGCAAACGTTCAAGGCAGGCTTGCTCAGGTACTGCTTGTAATGCTAGAGCGTGGGCTGACACCTGGACGTTTGGATTGGGGGAAGCGGAGGGCAGTTTTCCTCATGTTAATTTTGTTCCACAAAATAATAAAAACTTGATCATCCGTATCTCACGTCCTGAGTGGTCTTTCCATCCCATTCTGCTTTGGCTACGTGTATCTAAGTATTCAAAACCAGTAACGGATGACAGATGCTTACGCAGATTTGAGAGAAGTGTGGTAGGAGGGATGAGGTATGGGCTATACTACACAGTGCGCCTGCTGACTTCTGTGTATGAGGATCTTAAATTGCTCTGGTTTTGTTAATTGCGAATACCGGTGTTTTATTAATACTTTTTACACCATTATGGAGCTGGAGAATAGAACTGCTCTGTCCTGCAGCATTTGCCATTCCTCCAGTACAGCTGCTTCTGCTTTTGCAACAGACCATCTTTCCACAGTATGTCAATACAATTTATTACATGCTTTTACACAACGCTAAACCAAATTTTATACAGTTAATCCTTGTTATTGAGCAGCGGCACTCGTACTCGGTCTTTACGCTCATACCCACGGAATGTGTTCGCTTTGGCCTAAAGAGAAAGGAAGAGGAAAAAGAAAAATCACTACCTCGCTGCAGCTTACTGCTTTCCTTTTTTCAAACGCACCACTGCATTTTATTCTGAATTATTGTCTCCAGTAATAAAATAGTGGAATTTGGCAATGCGAAAAGATCTCACCAACAAAGGTAAGATGACACAAACAGCTACAACAGGTGAGACATTTTCACGTGGGGCTGCAGTACACCCACACGGGGTGGGGGGGGTGTGTGTTGGTGTTTAATTCCGCTGGGGCCGAGTCCCAGCGCAGGGGCCAGAAACTGTTCTGGATGTTCCTGTGCCAAGGCGGCAGGGAGGCTCCGCGGGATGCAGGTCGCAGCCAGGCGTGCATCCTGACTCTGCCTCCAGAGTTTATCCCGGGCCGAGATTACACATCCAGAGCTGCAGGGCTGCTGCAGGAGGGGGTGCCTGCCCTCCCTGCTGCAGCTGTGGGGGCAGGACCTCGGGGCGCGGCGACCATCACCCCCCCACACACTTTCAGAAGGGAATTCATGGAAGCGTTACAACTTGGCCAGGGCCTCCCGTAAGGGTCACAGGAAACGTCTTTCCAGGTACAAACATCCTGCCTCATGGCTGTAGGCTGGGAAACCCTTCTTTTGGAGCAGGGAGGGCTGTGGTTTCCGTAAGGAGTGTGACCTGATGTTTCAGCAGCAAGAACTGCCACAACACGCTGTGCCCGCCGCGGCCCCAGGGCTGCCTGCCTCACGCTCACACCCAACACAGCCTGCAATTCTTCTCTTGTAAATGGCAAGGAGAGATACACGGTTTCTGTGCAACAAAAAAGGCAAAAAATACCGCACTACTGGACACCCCACCCCGAGGTTAACATCGTGAAAAACATGACAACCTGTTTGCATTGAAAACAGGCTGCCTACTGCCCCTAGCTAGACTACTGGCCTGCTTTTGAAAGAGTGGCTGGATTAAAAAAGAAAAAAATAATAACCTGAAGAATGTTACTTTGTCAAACTCCATTGTAAGTGAAGTAACATTCTCCCTGCCCCCAGCCAAAAGACCAATTACTGCTAATCCACGTCCGTGGAAAATGTTTAGCCACGTCTCCTCTTCCATGCCAGGGAATACAACCCCACCAGAAGCTTCAATCAATCACACCAGCAGAGCTTTAAGGGGAGGAAAACAAAACAAGGCCTCAGCTACGAAAAGGCGAGTTGCTGCACAGCTGCGCCGTGTCTGGGCAGCGCAGCAACTGCTGCTAGCTCTGGCTGTACCCTCAGAGAGGAGCTGCTGCCCCTTCGCCACAGGACTTTTATCCCACGGGATCTGGATTCGCAGGCCAGAGGGTCCAGGCTCGATGCCTGACCTCAGATTAGCTGTGATGATCCTCTTCTGCCACTCAGTTTTAGCCTTTAAGCTAGCTGAGTTCCAGAGTATCAGAACTAGTAAGCCTGAGCCACACGTTGCTAAAAATGGAACAGGACCAACAAAGAAGGATGCACTTACCAAATCTGAGACCGTGCCACCGTCACTAGCAGTTTTCTTTTGCCTTTGGATGTTCATTCAGGAATAATTCAATGGCACTGCACTCTGGGGAACAGTTTGAGAGAGACAGGCTGTGTTCAGTGACTTCTGTGTGTTACTTTTTTTTTTTTTTTTGCGCAAAGCCACACGATAGGGTAATGTGGAAATCTACATTTAAGATGATCCTTTTGCGCAGGGTGTTAACAGCAGCTTGAGCAGCTGTGCCAAAGCACCCAAGGATCTGAGCCTTGGGGCTGTAAGATCCTCTCCTCCTTACTTACGCAGCTGTGAGCCCTCCTTAGCCATTGCAGCGACTGCATCCTCCTGGCTCTCAAAATGCACGTCCGCTTCTCCTGTGGCTTCTCCTTGGCAGTTGTATTCTACCGTGATCCTTGTCGGCTTCAGTGGAGCAAAAAACTGAAAAGGAGGAAAACAAAAGAGAGTTTGGTGACAAAGAAACAACAGAACAGTAACGCACCCTATTACCGAGAAACTTAATGTTTTTACTCATAAACCCTGTCCAGCTATAGCGCAGTAGCAGTAGCTTCACTCCGTCGGGGTGAAGCCGAGGCACACCCACGTCACCTGTCCCACGGCGCACAGCCTCCCACCCTCTGTAAGCTCCTGGCAGAGTAATTCTTGACAGGAACAAAAATCCTCACACAGCACATGTTCTGTACATGTCGAAGTCATTAAGTGCAGGTACATTCGCTCTGTGACACTGCACACTATTAAAATGAAGTAAAAATGATACTAAAAAGATGCTGAAATTCATTTTTGTACAACCAGCTACTCTGAAATCTAGCTAAGATTATAATTTATATAAATATGCTCAAGTCAAAGCGACGGATATTAAGACAGCCTAGCAAGCTTTAATCCATTCTTATTTATGGCGGCGAGCGTTCACTGTTGTGCCCATGAGGCCACAGCTACCCTGGGGAGCCTGTAACCATCAGCAAGGTCAAATTTCCAAACGCATTCAGCCTGAAGCCACGCCGCAGACACAGATAAATTAAAAATTTGATGTCACTTCATCTGTAACAATTAATCAAGGATTTGCATTGGTAATGACAATCGGATTTCATTCATAGTTATACTGTTACTCACATTTATTATGTCTTGGGCACTAGCTTGGGTAGGAAAACCCCTCATGTGGACAAAGTGCAGTGGGGATGAGATGTTCCCAGATTCTAAAATGTGCCCGGAGCTTTCCGTTCCTTCCCTGCACAATTCTGTGGAACGGAGGAAAAAACATCATTAACGCTTGCAATTATCACTTCCCTCACGTGAAAGCTGTAGACACGCAGGGTCACGCTCACAGCAGACAATCAGTGTAAAATGAAGAGGCCTCAAAGAACACACACGACAGGGACTCACTGTTTTCTCTTTCAGCATCGGAGCTTCCCGTGTCGCTCAATCCCCTTTCTTCGGAAACGGATTCATGTTCTTTTCTCACTTGGCGGTAGGTCACCATCTGCTTGTCGTAAGGCACGTGCCTTTGCATTTGATGCTTCCTACTTACGTACACTTCTATGTATCTAGAATTCAAAGGAAAATATTACATGGCACACTTTGCGCCTCCGCAAAGAACTACCTTCAGGAAGTTCTCCTATCTCAGCTCTGCTCACGTACTAGAGTGTGAGAGCCACGGTACGGCAAGCAACCGTTTTGAAGAATTAATTCATTTAAATTGCACAGCCTTATACAAAGTTCTTGTAAAAGTAAGATCAATGGCTTACAAGCCAAAATTCCGTTTTGTCACAGAAATACAGATTTATTTCCTCTGAAAAATGTTTTCTATTTCTTTCAGTAGTATGCATCTCTTTTGAGCATCCCTGTACGTGAGGCTGTTTTCCCCTCATTGCATCTCTGCAAACTGCACTATTCCCATCTCTACAAACCCCAAATTAAAAAAACCACCCAACCCCAGAACAGGTAACTGAAACAGGTGGACACAGGATATGCACAGGGTCCCATTAAATACTTCAGTGGAGCCATAAGGTTTTACATATTGCTATGAAACTGATGGGATAAAATGTGACAGGGTATCTGTGAAAGTTGTGGATTTAATACACCAATATGTAATGCAACATTAAGGGACTCTAGCAAGATCCCACTTAGACTGCAGAAAGAAAAAAAAACAACAACCACCCCTTATTTGCAGGTTTATTCAAAGTACAACATTATAATGCCTTATATCTCTATCTACCCCCCCCAGAACCTCTTAACTCAGAGCTGCCTAATCTTTCAGAGAGCTGGCAACAGTACCAGCTGGACCTCACAGCAATTTAACTAGCCGTGTTAAATTAGGCGATTTCCACAGCACTGAAGGAATAATGTGAGGAAGAAGAGAATATGGACATCCAAGTGAGGAGGCTTTCCTCCCTTCCTAACGAGAGCGGCTACAGTAAGGGAAGTAACCCCACGCTGACAGAGCTTACAGCTCAGCCCCCATGAACCCAGGCTCAGTACTGTGCACAGCTGAAGGCCATTTCTGGATAAAATTGATAGCCTAGGAAGAATGAACGAGAGCAAGCTCACAGCACTTTGGAAACCACTCGGTTTCTTGGCTAATCACACAGAAACAGAGGTATGTGAGCTCGGGTAGGTGAGTCAGATCAGCTGTTGTTCGATTGTGACCAAGAAAAAAATTAATGGCAGATTGAGAATGAACTAATCTCTATTGGAGGGCAGGGAAGTCTGTCAGTTAATTCAATTATTGGGCACACCTACAGAGCAGCCATTTTCTTTTAATATAGGTGGGGGGACACACACAAGGAAAGGTAGGCTGGGCACAGGAAATAAGAAAATAGAAAAAAGGAAATAGGTGCTGCATAAGAGAACTGGTAAGGTTTGGAGAGGTCTTTTACTACCTGGTATTCAGAAAGAGAACTTAGTGGGTTATTAAAAAAAAAAATGAACCTCACCAGGTTAAAAGCAATCTTACTTTTTTTTTTGCCTCTGAGCACAGCTCAGGATTCTGGGAAAAAATGGTTTATGCCTCTGCTTGAGAGAGAGAGGCTCTTGTGAGAGAAGCATGTGGCAGAGGGCTCAATGCTCTGGAAGAAAATGGTTAAACATGGATTCATGAGGAAGGAGGACAGCCCGGGTGGACGTAGTCACCAAAGAAGCAGAAGACTGCATGGTGTCAGCCAGCAGTCAATGCTGGGAATGGATTCAAGCCAGAGGCGAGTGGTAAGCTGTGCTTCGTACAATGTACTCTCCAAGTGGAGACGCTGACTGTGCTTGGTACTGGGCTGAAGGAAAGGGTGAGGGTTGCCAAAATTGCGGAAAGGACCAGGGAACCTGGTGGAAATTTGGCAGGGGCCAACGTCTGTAGGAGGCGCAGGATCCCCGTGCACTTGCGACTGGGCAGATGGTGTCTATCTAGCGTTCCCCGCTCTGAATGCTGTCGCCCCATTTTTGTTGGGATGAGACTGCCTCCAGGAATACTTGAAAAGAACTGAGACTTTCTCTGAGAGGCCCCAAATTCCCCCAAGCTACAAGCGCTGAAGGTGCCTCGGCAGCCCACAAAAGCTTCACCTTCTTTCCTCCAGTTTTGTCACAGTTCTAAAGAAACATCCCCAGAGGAGGTAACACTTAGGTTGCACAAAGTATTTCACAGGGTGCCATTAAAAAAGAACTGTTTCAAGCCACAAAGTATCAGTCTGACGCTACTATACGAAAGATTTAGCTATGATTTCTACTGAGATTTGAATCTAAAGTCTGAGTTTTAGGTCATAAGGGTAATAAAGGCAGAAGCTTCCTTAATAATAATGTGCATATGGGATAGCCTAAGATAAACTATTTCACCTCGTAAGAAGCAAGCTGTAAGTCACAGCATGCTTCATACCATGTTCTTCTACCCTTGTGAACCCCAGGGAAGCACCTACCTATTTCCCATGTACTCCCTGTGTCGTAACAGGGCTTTAGCTGCCATTGCAGGAGCTGCGAACTGCACGAAAGCTTCTCCTGTTCTTCTTTCTCCACGGTAAACGAAAGCTATGTCAGTTATTTCCAAACCTATGGAAGGGTGAGGAGAAAAAGGCATTTACTTTGTCAGGAACTTGTGCCATAGCTCAAAGACACGTTTCTTCCCTTACTCTTCTGGTTTTTGACAAGCTAATCGGGCAGTTAAATAGTTCTGAAACAACTGCTCATGCTGGCCTACGTAGCTTTGTTTCAATTTTTTTTGAAAATGCCAATTTATTTGCTTTAAGTTAGTTTTCACAGAAGGCTTAATTGCCATTAATGAATCAACTCAAGGCTTCAAGTAACTAAGAAAATAACAAGTGAATCCAAGTTCTAGACAACAAGGAGGTCCAGAGCATGAATGTTCTTGAAATTTTCTCTTATTATTATGGTAATTTTTTCCCATCTCTTTAAAACCCAGGTCAAATTCACTGAACTTCAATTTTTATGCTGCATATATATCTTCTTGGGGAGCCTGTAATCCAGTAAATAGCTATATCTGACATGACACAGAGTGCACACTGGGCTGGGCTACTACACTTTTCCCACCACCCCCCGCCCCAGGTATGCTTTTGCATACTTCTTTGCGCCTTGTTACTTTCTCATAGGGTCTCCCCAAGCTCCTGAAGAAATGGAAATACTTGCTCCACGCTGCTCTAGTCATCTCATTGTGGTAACTCTGCTACTAGATGCCTTCAAACATACTGAACTACTGATTATCAGTTGAAAAATTTACTACCAGTGGCCTTTGCTTTTGGCATTATGGTGGGTATTATAAGCCTTAGTGCTATAGGACCCTGCGTGCATGCCTACCTGGAGTGGAACAAGCTGCAGGGAAGAACTGGTTTTGGTTTAGTCTACAACTTAAACTTTACCTAAGGAAACGTCAATTTATTTTGCAAAACCTAGAAAGGCTTTTTTACTAATGAATGCAGGCAGCAACCACCTGGATTGCTCTAGCACCGAGTGTGGGACATGAGTGTGCGCACACATACTGTGCAATACTTGCTCAGCTGAGAACTGGTGCAGTTAACTTTCACAACCATGAACAAGCCAGTAATAAAAAAAAAATTGCTGTTAACAGTTTTAAGTGGCATACGTGATCTAACTGTCATGGTTATACAGCTGCGAATACCCATGCTGTATTCACTTGTACTGTAACTATCATACAGGCATTTTTGCCTCGCTTAACTTTGCCAAATTATGCACTGTTAGCAATCCGCTTGCATGTAACAGGATCTAGGTTCCTCTCTTTCCTTCCCCTAGCCCCAAAAAAGAGTGCTGCAAGTATTGATCCTAGCTTAGACCTGCAGAAAGTCAAAGGTGCGAAGAAAACCTCGCAGCCAAAAGCTCGTTCTGAAAGCTTTGGTTACTTCCAGCTGCAGGGGGACAGCAACTTCTTACACTGTTTTAAGGTGTTCAAGGCTGCATGTGCTTTTGCTTTTCTCACTTAGAGAACAACAGCCTATCTCAGCATCAACTTGGAGAAGTAAATGCCTCATAATCGAAGAGCACAGACTAGGCTGAGTTACCTGAGAAAAAATCCGCGATATCATCCTCAGTGGAGCTGAACGGAAGGCCTCTGAGTAGTACAACTCCATCATTTATGGCTTGTGACTCATCCCGCAGACTTTGTAGTAAGCCCTCTACATCACTATCGTGTACTTCAAAAACTGCAAGGAATACAGGCACAAAACATGTTTTCCCTCATGGTACTCAGAAGGTGGCACTCTGCAGGCATTCTTCAAGGCAGCTTTTTCCCCCCACAAAACTCTGTTTGTTCCCCCACCCCATACTCTATGGTCCTGCAACGATGCTCTTTGCTACACAAGCCACTTTGCTTTTCCTGTCCAGCCTAGGAAGTTTTGGCTAAATGGTGCCTTGTTGGCTAATTTGCTGCTCTGTTCCACATCCTGCACCTCTCCACACCAGCCTGCTTTATTATTCAAGCAGTTCTTACTCCTTTTATCATGAGTTTTCTTCCAACGTAACTTCTGTCGTTTCAAACCCACCTTTCACGTAGCGTGGGCCCATATATCTCAGGTGCTTTTCCAAGGCTCTCTGGACATCCGCTTTTGACTCCAGCTCGATCAAGGCATCCCCCCTGCGTCTCCCATCCCTGTTTAAGAGGAAGTGTATGCCGTTCTCACCATTTCGAATTCTACAGCCTAGAAATCAAGGAACACACGATACAGAAACATACGCAACTGTATCCAACATGGGGGTCTTAGAATTGCAGATGAAAACTGAATACGCTACATAGAGCTATCCCTCTCAGCAGTGCAAAGTACTGTCTTGAAACAAAGAATAGGAAACGGCTATTTCTAACCTCAACTCTAACACACAATGCTTATCACAGATAAGAAACTGTTTTGACATCCATGAGCTTCCACAGCTGTATAACTGAATAATATATATTCTCATATTGTTGGTCAACTTAATTGTTTCTGAGTTATTTGAAATCAAGAACAAATGCTGTAGTCTTTCGGTCTCTATAGCTGTACTCTGCCTGCTATATGTTCCTCTTCCCTAGGACTTCTAACTGACTTGATTTAGTTTGGCCCGTTATTAAACCATTTAAGAACTTGGATCTCATGGATGCATCGTAATATTACAGCACGGAGGGATCAGCCCTGCCAAGGTATGCACAAGCCTATTAAATAGGATCAGAAATCAACACTGAAGTTTAAACTAGTAAGTAAAAACCACTCCAGTTTGTTTAAAAGAGGGGAGTTGGGGAAAAAGCCAACCATAATGGTCTTGAAAGGAACTGCTTCGAATTGGATTGCCTTTACTGTGGAGACACCGACTAAGAAGGGAAAGACTTGCTCAATGAAATATAAAATGCCATAAGGATGAGTTTTGACTCATTGTGCAGCAGTTTGTAAGTTATTTGTTTTATATGTGTAAATCACAAATAATTTTGCCGCAATATTAAAAACTCATCTTTCTCTGGCTAACGATCTTTAAGTTTTTCTTCTGTTAACTAATAATTAACTATTGGGTTCCATAACGCCACACTTAACAGTTACGCAGGAAAATTAACTCCCATACTATCAAAAAAGCTAAGCACATCTTCTTCGGTGCACGAGAAGGGGAATCCTTGCGCCCTGATGAGAAAGACATTGTCATGCTCTGTCTTGGGTGACTCCCGTTCCTGCTCTGAGAGGTGACCTTCCTCGGATGGCACATCTGTAACCTGTCACCAAAAAAAAACCCAAATTAAAAACTGGCAGCGTTCAGCAGTGGTACCCAGCCACGCTCAGCTTTTTAGGTAGGTGCGTGGTAAGTAAGTGGGCCTTGTGCAGCGTGGGGGGCCGAGGACAGGGAGCAGCAAGGGCAATCGGGCTGGGGCGCATGCGGCACGCCGCAGCCGCCTCCCCGCTGCTGTGGGGTAAGGGCGCGGGGCCCTGCCGCCC